ACGGAATCTCACATCACAGCTCCAGGTTACAGCAGAAGCTCTACAGAGACACCGCATATACAGATCCCAAAAGATTGCCGCTGGAACGCACCGCTCAGCGTGCGCTCCACTCACCGGAAGTGACGTCAGACGTACGGAATAGAAACCGGAAATGCGTCAACGCGTTTCGCCCCTCCCATCGGGCGTTCTCAAGACGTTCATTTCCTGTCTGAAGCTCCCTTATATACCCAGCAGGGACCCACCCCTCCGTTCCAATTGGTCAAAACCCTCCCCGGGATTATCAAAAAAACCACTCCTCCTGTAATGTGACGTGAGAGTCCTTTACAGATGAGGTATATGCCTACACAATTAGAAATCCTTTTTCAAGTATTCCCGACACTGTTGAATTATCTCCCAGAAGCGACATGTATATTACCACATGTCCCCAGTGGGAAAAACACGAACAAAGTATTAAACAATGCCTCACTATTACAAAAACTTTCTTTAATATATGAGCAATGAATAACATCACTACTAAATAGCAATAAAATGTAAAATTTTTTATTGAAAATGAAAAATAAATAAAAATGAAAATGAAAATAAAAATAAAAAAAATAAAAATACACTTTGTATATTGATTTTATTTAGAGGTCTATGTTTGCGCTGTTTTTCTTTATTTTTTCATTATTTGTGTTGATCACAGTGCACAGCAGCAGGATAGAACCTGTAGTAGAGTGTTTCACTAGGCGCAGGAAGAATTTTTAGTTGATTTAGAGCATGTAGGACACAGCCAGAGGGTGACCATAGCATTTGCGACTGAGCAGGGTCCAGAAGGGAACGTGGTTAGGTGGGCGTTAGAAAAAAGTTTAGCAACCTCGTCTATAGTAGTGGGGTTGAATGCAGGAAGTAGTGATTGTCCCTGTGGATGTGGAGTGTTAAGTAGGGGAGGCATCTGTGCATTGGAGATCTCCTCATGAATTGTATCAATTTTCATTTTGAAGTGATTGACGATCTCCTGGACAGTGAGTGAGTTAGTGGCCGGAGGCAGTGGAGGACGAAGAAGAGAGTTGAAGGTAGAGAAGAGTTGACTGGGACTGGATGAGAAGGTGTTAATGAGAGTGATGAAATAGGTCTGCTTGGCAGTGTGGAGGCAGGAATAGTATTTCTGGAAGGCAGATTTATTTTGGTTGAAGTCAGTCTGAGACTTGGTCTTACACCACAGACGCTCAAGAGCGCAACTCTGTTTTTTGAGACCTCTGGTGTCATCTGTTTGCCAAGGTTGTAGGGGTCGGGCCTGACTGTGTATGTAGTGAGGGGGGCAAGCTTGTCTAGGGAGGATGACAGTGAACTGTTGTAGACAGGATTGGCTAGGTCTGGGCAGGACAGCGATGATATTTTGTCATAGAGGTGGTCAGTATCAGAGTAGAGAAGGAAAGGGTTGAGGTGGCAAAGGATTCTACAGGTAATTTGTTAGGTGATCGGAGTGAGAGGAGGTGGGAGACACGGAGAGAGTGAAGCTAATAAGGTGGTGATCAGAAAGCAAGGGAGGGTTGTTGGGAGAGGTTGCCCGGAGTTCATAGATTATTATTATTATTATTATACAGTATTTATAAAGCGCCAATAGTTCGCTCAGCGCTGTACATTACAAAGGGGGACAGAAACATGTGACAGAACAATACCAATACAATGCAAAACATGAGGGGATCGAGGGCCCTGCTCTTTCGAGCTTACAATCTAGGAGGGAGGGGGTGGCGGCACAGGAGGAGATAGCTGTGGGGGATGGAGTGGTAGGAAGAGTGGAGGAGGTCGGCAAGTTAGCAGGGGGTGGGGTAGGCTTCCCTGAAGAGATGGGTTTTCAGGGTGCGCCTAAAGGAGAGGAGAGTAGGTGATAATCTGATGGATTGGGGCAGGGAGTTCCAGAGGATGGGTGACACCCTGGAGAAGTCCTGGAGGCGGGCATGGGAGGAGGAGACCAGGGAACTAGAGAGAAGGAGGTCTTGTGAGGAGCGGAGTGTGCGTGCTGGGCGGTACTTGGATATTAGGTCAGTGATGTAGTTCGGGGCAGTATGGTGGACAGCTTTGTACGTCAGCGTTAGGATTTTAAATTTGATCTGTTGCGCAATCGGAAGCCAGTGGAGGGATTGGCAGAGGGGGGTGGCGGAGACAGAGCGGTTGGAAAGGTGAATGAGTCTGGCAGCCGTATTCAGGATCGACTGAAGCGGGGATAGCCAGCGGCGAGGCAGGCCAGTGAGGAGGGAGTTGCAGTAGTCGAGTCGTGATATGATGAGGGAGTGGATGAGCTGTTTAGTGGTTTCTGGGGTTAGGAACGTGCGGATTTTGGCGATGTTGCGGAGGTGGAGTCTGCACGAGTTTGTTAAAGATTGGACTTGGGGCTGGAAGGATAGGTTGGAGTCCAGAATGACACCCAGTACTCTGGCCTGCAGGGCGGGTTTGATGGTGGAGTTGTTGGATGTGACGGAGAAAATAGATATATTCATATCTATTCATAGATAGGAGAATACACGGTCAAGGGTATTGCAATTGGAGTGAGTAGAAGCCTGTATCCATTGCGTCAGGCCAAAAGAGGAGGCTAGGTTAAAAAGTTTTGAAGTAGCAGTAGTGTTCGCATTAAAAGGGATGTTGAAGTCGCCAAGAGTGATTGTGGGGATTTCAGAAGAGAGAAAGAAGGGTAGCCAGGCAGAGAAGTCATCGAGGAAGGTAGATACCAGTCCCAGGGGACCGGTAGATGACAGCAAGCCTTAGAGAAACAGGAGAGAATAGAGGTATACAATGTGCCTCAAAAGGGTGTCCGAGAGGGAGGTGGGTGAAGTACCTGATAGGTGCTCTGTGTGGCAAGTAGGATTTCTACTCTACCTCCCTTCTGTCCTCTGGGTCTAGGAGAGTGAGTCCAGAGAAGGCCACCATGGGAAAGGGAAGCAGTGTCACAATCATGAAGCCAGATCTCGGTAATGGCAGGTAGGTTACAGGAATTTGTGATAGAGAGGTCGTGGAGGGAGGTGAGTTTGTTACAGACAGAGCGGGCGTTCCAGAGGGCACAGGAAAAGGGGAGGCTGGCTTTGGGGAGAAGACTTGTTCCTTGTAGCTGTCAGCTTGTACTTCTCTATGAACTGCCATGGAGTTGTTGAGCACTTTGATAGTTCTTTGATTATTCCTGTCGGTGTGAAACTGCTGGCCTGTACAGCTTATAGTGACAGTCTGTAGGACTTCCGAATGGCACCACTGATCTGCTAATTGTGAATGCAATGCTTTCCAAGTTTCTACAAATAAAAAAAACAAAAAAATAGTGAATGCACTTTTTTTTTTTTTTTTACCTGAAAAACATGGCTAGCGTTTAGCTGCGTTTTTGCTGTGCTTAGCGATTTTTGGCCAAAACATTCCTCTCCTGAACGCGACTATTCTGCAGTCAGAAGAGGAACATTTAACTGCTCTCTAAACTCTAATAAAAGCCTATGTGTACATGGACATTAGGCTTTTGAGTGGAGTTCAGGGGCTTTGGCAAAAAATGCCAAAAGCTCCTAAACTCACGTTTAGGATCAGCATTGTACATGAGGTCTAATGCAGGTCTGTATTTGGTAATACATCATTTAATTTATATTTAAAGGCTGTAAGATCAAGCAATGTAGGTACCTGAATTTTACTTGCAATCCCTTGTACAACAGAGCTTAGACCGAGATTGGGAGAAGCAACACAATCTGCTATGCTGCAGTGCTAATGTGCTACCATGGGACTTGCTGGTAGGAGGAGAGAGCAGAGAGATGAGCTCATCTGACTGCTGCTTGTCCCTTATATCTCCAGTCCCAGGCTGTGCAGTGACAAGGACTTTAACTATGGAAATGAAAAATCATATCTCCTGACCGGCCAGACTGAGCTGTGCTGTGCCTCTGAGCTGGATGGATAGAAGTTCAAATAGTTTGGAAGGGAAAGCAGCTCTATTCTATGTATATCATCAGTGTATTTAGTGGTATATCTTCACAACCCACATTAAAGCTGAACTCTGGACAAACTGCTAATTACCCAGATAAAAAAAATACAAGGCAGCTGTTTACCTGCCAAAGGATTTGTATTTCCGTTCATTCAGTCTTGAGATTTGCACAGCTTTGCCACACAGCACAGCCATGTCTGACAGTGCAGGAGACCCGATCTTTCACTGCTGTAGTTCGGTAACCCCTGCTGGTCTTGTCCCTCCCCCAACCTGTGATCTGACAGTGAAAGAAGTAGAAGCTTAATAGGTTTTCCTCTGTCACTCTGCTCTTTCCTCCTATCAGCACACTGCCTGCATTGTCATGCAACTGATTGGGCACAAGGAGCCAATCTGAGCTCTCAGTCTTAATTTCCAGGGTCCCCAGCCCTGACCTGAGCGATCCCAGCTGTCAAAGTCATCAGCCAATAATAGGTGGCAGAGGCATTCCCTGCCCTTGGCCAATGTATGCAGGGAGTATGTGTGCAGCTTCAGGACAGGGAATGCCTCTGCCGACTATGGTTGGCTTTGACGTCTTCCCAGTGGGATAGCTAATGTGGAACACGCCTAAACCCATCACTGTCCCCGATGTCCAACAAGCTTTATTGCCAGTAGTACAAACTCACAAAGAGACCGTGGCATTTCATTCACCACCAGACCCTTCTCTGCTCTGTTGACAGGCATTGGTGATCATTGTACCCCAGTCTGGTGTGGTGAGTTTGTACTACTTGCAGTGAATCTTGTTGGATATCAACTTAAAAAAAACCTTGGAAGGTCCACCACTTTGTTGTATCTGGATACGGTGGGGTGGGGGGGATGAATTCCAGCAGTTGTGCTCCCACAGCCAGTGGATGATCTGTAAGAGCAGCGGGAGCTGTCATATCTCAGTATTTTAATGTTCTCTTTTTTCATATCTTCATAGGTAAACAGCTATCTGGTGGTGAGAGTCAGGCATGCAGTCTCTGATTACATAAGGTGTGGTATGAACTGCTGATGCTGGAAGGTCCCCAGGACGGCAGGATCTCTGCACTCCTCGCTGGAGATGTTCACCCTGGGAATATGGCTGCTGGTACTGTGGTCTGCCAAGGGGGTGGATGAAGCATCGGCCAAAGCAATCCAACAGACAACCGCTGAATTTAACAAGGAATATAATGACTCTGTGAACAATGACATACAAAGTATATATGCCTTCAACCATACCATGCTAAGAAACAAGGTAAGATATACTCTGATAGACCCTACGATTAGTGTGACATGGAAAAATGGGCGTACAAGGAAGACGTAACCGAATATATTTTGTGGTGCAAGTCTTGGTGAATAGTCAGTTCTCTTCATCAGGCATGGAGCGAGGAACTGAGTATTCAGAAAAGCTTGGATGAAAAAAATACGTTCAGTTATCTAATGAAAGGCCTTTGTATTTTTTTTTTACTTCCGTGCTGCTGTCTATGGCTAACACAATGCAATACATTACTGCTAGAGAATGTCCGTTTAATACCGTATGCCTCTCTGCCATGCAAACAAACTAAAAGTCCAAAGTAGCTCTGATAGCTGCTGTCAGCCGTCTGCCAGCTGCATGGATGACATGCCAATATCTGGGATCCAAACCAAGGGGTCTGGATGTATAGTAGGTGTAGGGGTATGGAAGGACGATCGAATCTTACAATTCTGTAAGTGAAAGATACATTCCTTTCACAATACAAGGCAGCTCATGTATGTGAATATCTTCTGGTTTACGGAATTGATGTGGATGTTTTCGGTCTAAAGCTGGTCACACATGTTCTAATCTGACCATATAATCTGCTTTAGATTTTTGAACAGCTGTATAGTGTCTGAGCCTGCCATATCGGGCATTAATCAGAAGGATAGCTTAAAGTATTCAGTTTAAAATAGAAATGTAAGGCAAACCATTTGTGTAGAGATATACAGTAAAAAACATTCTATAATTCTTATTTTTTTTTTTTTTTTTTTTTTTTTTTTTTTTTTTTTTTTTTAAGTGTTCACATATTCTCTATACTCATAAGAGCTTGGGGAAGAGAAGCCGCAGCATACTAGTCTTTCCAGTGAATAGCTATGCAGAGAGGGACTGTCAACACAAGTCTGATCATTAGAGGAAAGCAGGCTGAATTCCAGCACAGCTAGAGAACTGACCAAGCTGTGCTCTCCAGCCTAGTGTGGTCACTAGGAAAGCAGAGGGCCTGGCAGGAACACCAGGGATTTCACACACAAGAAGCAATACAAAGAGAACAGGATACTTTTTCATACAAGTACATGGTACACCAGGCACATTTCAGGAATATGAAATGTTGCCTTTACATACCTTTTTAAAGTAAAACTAAAGGCAAAACTTTTTTTTCCCATTTTGAATAGAGTAGAGGGTGTGTTTTAACCCCCGTCTGTGTCCCATTGGGGAAATTTCCCTTCACTTCCTGTCTTGTAGCCACATAGGAAGTAAAAGGAAATCCCATCAAAGTGATGGAATCCCTTGTTGTCACCAAGACCACCAGAACTAGTGTCCCCATTGGAAGATTTACGCTCTCTTCCTGGTGACAACCCAGAATTTGGGATTTTCTTTCACTTTCACTCTCCGGGATAAAAGTAAACATGACAAATAGAGAGAACGAATCCCTCTAATGGAGACACAGGCATCAATTAAAGGATAAGTTCACCTTTCTGAATATGTTACATGTTACACCCCTCATTTAGGGTATAATATGTTCAGCATGCATCCCCTCTACCGCTTGATCCCCACCCCTCACTGTGTCAGTGGGGGGGGGATCCTCTTCCCCCACCTGCTGTCACAAATGGAAAACAACACGGCTGCGTCATTCATTCAGTTTTTAGTGAATGAATAGACCACAAGTACTGTAAGCCATTGCAGCTGATGGCTTTTAGTTCTTCATGATCTACGAGGGTGCTAGTGGGCACTCTTACAGTTCATTAATTTTGCTGCTCTGTATGAGAGGTATGGGTATACAGATTTCCTGAGAGTCTGCAGGAGCCTGACATTGATCGCACGATCTACTGATCATGGGTATAGTGCTCTGCAGGCTCCCTAGAAAAGAAATAATAAATGTACATTCAATACCTGCAAAAAAAGTGCATTTATAATAATAATTTTATAATTATCAATAATTTTTTTTTTCCAAAGGGTGAGCTTATCCTTTTAACCACTTGCCAACTACCCACAGTAAATTCACTGTGGGCGAGCGGCACGTACAGGCACAAAGACGTATATGTACATCATTGTGCTTGTGCTGCACCCCTATGAATTTCATTCATAACAGCTCTTCTTCCTATACTAGTGGGCTTTAATTGGTCCACATCTATCACATGGTATCTGGGCTAATCACAGCACCCTGCACCATGTGATTAGCTGTAGCCAATCACAGATCACTAGTAATCACAGCTGTCATGAATTAAACTCCATGACAGTTCCAAGCATTGCTGATACAATGATCTTCATTGTAACAGCCATCAAAGTATTAAAAAAAAAATCCCTGATTTTCCCCCCAAAGTAGTGCAGCATTACTATGGTGACACTGAACTACTCTGATGAAAGTATGTAAAAAGTAAATAAAATAAAACATTATTGAAACATTTTTTTATTAGGTTTTCTTTTTCTTTTTTTTAACGTACTGTCACCAGTCCGTATCCCTGATCACTGCCACACCAGTCATGTGATGGCACTGTACTGTGCTGGTGATGGTATGCAGAAAACTTGTCAAAAAATGTACAACTTCAAAAAACTTGCTGTGCCTTTTACTAAATACCTTGGTCTGTCTAATTTCCAGAAATGGGTCATTTTGGGGGCATGTGTACTTTCCTTACATTTTAAGGGCCTTGTCAAATGCAGTATCTCCCAGAAGTGAGTATAAACAAAAAAGGCAAAAAAAAAAAAATTTTTATATATATATATGTATACACATAGCATCTCACAGAAGTGAGTACACACCCCTCACGTTATTGTAAATATTTTATTCTATCTTTTCATGTGACAACACTGAAGAAATGACACTTTGCTACAATGTGACATAGTGAGTGTACAGATTGTATAACATGTAAATTTGCTGTCCCCTCAAAATAACTCAACACACAGCCATTAATGTCTAAACCGCTGGCAACAAAAGTGAGTACACCCCTAAGTGAAAATGTCCAAATTGGGCCCAATTAGCCATTTTCCCTCCCTGGTGTCATGTGACTCGTTAGTGTTACAAGGTCTCAGGTGTGAATGGGGAGCAGGTATGTTAAATTTGGTATTATTGCTCTCGCTCTGTTACTGGTCCCTGGAAGTTCAACATGGCACCTCATGGCACAGAACTCTCTGAGGATCTGAAAAAAAGAATTGTTGCTCTACATAAAGATGGCCTAGGCTATAAGAAGATTGCCAAGACCCTGAAACTGAGCTGCAGCATGGTGGCCAAGACCATACAGCTGTTTAACAGGACAGATTCCACTCAGAACAGGCCTCGCTATGGTCGACCAAAGAAGTTGAGTGTACATGCTCAGCGTCATATCCAGAGGTTGTCTGTGGGAAATAGATGTATGAGTGCTGCCAGCATTGCTGCAGAGGTTGAAGGGGTGGGGGGTCGGTCTGTCAGTGCTCAGACCATACGCCGAACACTGCATCAAATTGGTCTGCATGGCTGTCATCCCAGAAGGAAGCCTCTTCTAAAGATGATGTACAAGAAAGCCTGCAAACAGTTTTCTTTAGACAAGCAGACTAAGGACACGGATTACAGGAACCATGTCCTGTAGTTTGATGACACCAAGATAAACGTATTTGGTTCAGATGGTGTCAAGCGTGTGTGGCGGCAACCAGGTGAGGAGTACAAAGACAAGTGTGTCTTGTCTACAGTCAAGCATGGTGGTGGGAGTGTCATGGTCTGGGGCTGGATGAGTGCTGCCGGCACTGGGGAGCTACAGTTCATTGAGGGAAACATTAATGCCAACATGTACTGTGACATACTGAAACAGAGCATGATCCCCTCCCTTCAGAGACTGGGCCGCAGGGCAGTATTCCAACATAACGACCCCAAACACACCTCCAAGACGACCACTGCCTTGCTAAAGAAGCTGAGGGCAAAGGTGATGGACTGGCCAAGCATGTCTCCAGACCTAAACCCTATTGAGCATCTGTGGGGCATCCTCAAACGGAAGGTGGAGGAGTGCAAGGTCTCTAACATCCACCAGCTCTGTGATGTTGTCATGGAGGAGTGAAAGAGGACTCCAGTGGCAACCTGTGAAGCTCTGGTGAACTCCATGCCCAAGAGGGTTAAGGCAGTGTTGGAAAATAATGGTGGACAAACAAAATATTGACACTTTTGGGCCCAATTTGGACATTGTCACTTAGGGGTGTACTCACTTTTGTTGCCAGTAGTTTAGACATTAGTGGCTGTGTGTTGTGCTATTTTGAGGGGACAGCAAATTTACATGTTATACAAGCTGTACACTCACTACGTCACATTGTAGCAAAGTGTCATTTCTTCAGTGAAAAGATAGAATAAAATATTTTTACACAAATGTACTCCTGTGAGATGCTGTGTGTGTGCATGTATATGCATGTATGTATGTATGTGTGTGTGTGTGTGTGTATATGTGTATATATATATATATATATATATATATATATATATATATATATATATATATATATATGTGTGTGTGTGTGTATATATATATATATGTGTATATATATATATATATATATATATATATATATATATGTATATATATATGCATGTGTGTGTATATATGTATGTATGTGTATATGTATGTATGTGTGTATATATATATATATATTTTTTTTTTTTTGCCTTTTTTCGTTTATACAATAAAAAATAAAAATCCAGTGGTGAACAAATACAACCAAAATAAAGCTCTATTTTTGTGTGATAAAAATTTATCTAAGTTTACTTTTTGTACAGTGTAGCATGACTGCACATTTGCCAGTTACAGTAGCAAAAAATGGCCTGGTCATGAAGGGGGGTAAAATCTTCCAGAGTTTAAGTGTTAAAAAATATAACCGGTGTTCTAATCTCTCTCCCCTCTATCGCAATCTAAAAAGATGCCTTTTTAGTTCTACTGTAAACTAGAATTCAATGCAAAATAATTCCCTCAGAGTAGCCATACATGTAACGATTTGTGATCGATCTAGGTACAGAGAGTTCATCATTTATAACATGAAGGGATGCATCACATACAATACTGAATTAAAAT